GGGGATGGGAGTAGGACATGCTGCTACAAAGGAAGAAGGCGGAGAAACCCAACCCAGGTAAGAATGGGTACAGGGCATGGACTGAAGTGCTGGTACCTTGCTTTCCCTGGGTCTCAGACAGGCTCCCTGTCTACCACCATCATGGTCTCACATAGGCTGCTGCCCTGTTGGCAACCCAGACACGGGAGGCCCAGGGAAGGGCTGGGGCAAACCCCAGCTGAGAGGGGCAGATGGCCTTGGAGGGAGGGAGTTGTGCTTTGCATATGTCCAAGGCCAGCAGGGGCATCTAACAAGGTGTCTGTGTGGTGGCACCTCCCCTCAGGACAGGGTTAGAGATGCTCTCGATCTGAGACCCTCCCATCCCCTCATTGAGACTGAGACTGCCCCATTCCCCACACTGAGACTGCCCCATGCCCACACTGAGCCACCCCATGCTCACACTGAGACCACCCCATGCTCACACTGAGCCACCCCATGCCCACACTGAGACCGCCCCATCACCGCAGCCTTCTCTGCATTAATCTTAGGCACACTCCCCAGCAGTGGCTGGGTCTGTTTCATGTGTCCTCAGGACAACCCCTACTGGTAAACGAAGCCTCTGTGCTTCCCCTACCTGTGACCCGTGGAAGGCGCCACTGTCTGTAAAGAAACGGTGCTTGGGAAGCCCGTTGGTAGCATGACACAGAAGCCTAAAGTTAAGATTAAAATCTTATTGGCACAGCTGTCAGCTGTCGGCAGTCGGGGAGAGTTAAGGCGGGTGGGGGCTTGGAGACAGTTTACTCTTTTGTGATTGCAAACCGTCCTCCACAGTCTGCCTGCACTCCACCATTGCCTGCCTGCCCACAACAGGGACGGAGGAGTACATCACCCATGGTTGTCAGTATGGTGACCAGGAAGTGGGTGGAGAAGTCTTCATTGCACGTGTGAACCAGTGACGTGTTAAACACTGCTCCCCCACAAGAGTCTGGGGGCAGAGGTGCTTCTTAGAAACCCTCCGTTTGCACACAGGAAGCAACTGAGGCCAGTGCAGAGTCATCCAAATGTTGCCCAACAAGTTATCTGTGAGCCGAGGCAACCCTTGACTGTGTAGGCATCTCCAGAGTGCTGTGAATAACTCAGAGGTGGACCCCGCCCCCCAGCAGCTGGCCACCTGCAGCACATGTAAGCAACTCCCAGCAGCTGGAGTTCACTATTTTTAAAAGAATATTTAAGACGACCAGACTCCTTGCATCTGTGTCACTTCACATTTTCAAAGGCCAATACATCTTTCCTCCTGTAAACACCCTTTGCCAGACCTCTAGGCCCTGGGTTTAGAAACAGGGGTGGCTTGGGTGACCTTGTTTATCCACAGTGGCCCAGGTCCTGAGAACAGCTGTAGACTCAGACAGCCAGGCCCACCTCTAGGTCCTGAGCTATTCCCAACTAGCTGTTGTTGAAATGGGAGGTTTGAGCAAGTACTCGCTTACCCCTGGTGTGTTCCAGGCTGGGTACCACTGACCCAGCCGTCTTCTGCGGCTTGATGATGAACTGTTGCGGGGGATGCTGTAGTCTGTCTGACTTGACACACATACAAGAGTGAATCTCCTCAATCGGCCTGCAAGCTTTCCCAGCGCCATCAGCACACGTGGAGCGTGGGCTTTGTGAGTGAACGAAGGCCGCTATTATGTGGGAGAATGGATGCAGGGTTAGTACTGCTATTATTAGAATTCTTTTCTTTAGAGATGGGAGGCAGTCATGGGAGAGGTGGGACCAGAGCCCACTTAGCCTAGACTGCTCTTTGGGAGACATCAGTCACGGGCAGCCACAAGCTGTAAGATAGGACATTTAAAGTGTGGAGGAGAGTGGTTAAAAATGTGCCCCAGACCAGCGCAGTGGCTCAGCGGGTGGAGGTGCTTGCCACCAAGCCTGGCTTCCTTGGAACTGACTCCCACAAGTCCTCTGACCTCCCCACGCACAGCACCATGCCGTATATGTGTGACTGTGAATATACACATGCACATTAAATAAATGAATGTAATTAAAATGTTCAAATGTATAGCAGTCATTATGCGTTTCATAACTTAATAAGCATGAAAAACATGGAAATGAACATAAATACATTCAGAAATGCCATCTGTATTTCCATTTTACTGACATGTACTGATATGTACTAGACAGTGAAGGTTCTGTGAAATACGTGAAGCACAGCATTTTAATTATGTACGCACAACACAATCACAGCAGGGCCCCAATCAGAAGGTGTCTCTCCAGCATCTGTCACTTGTGGCAAGCAGGAACCCACAGTGGCTTTTGCCAGTCTGGCTGGTTTTCCATTGTCTATGACTCTACATTCAGAGGCATTAGGTCAAAGCCACTGGTGACAGGAGGGGGCCTCCTGAGAGTAATCTCAAAAGCAGATGTGGGCTGGCGCCATGGGCATGTGTGATCGTATGAATGCAGTTGGCCCCCACAATCCCATAGGGAGTGGTGGAGTGGGTGTGGCCTTGTTGGTGGAAGTGTGTCACTGTGCGGGGTGGGCTTTGAGGTTTCCTATGCTTAGGATACTGCCTAGTGTCTCAGTCGATTTCCGGTTGCCTTTTGATCAATATGTAGTTAGTTAGCACCATGTCTGCCTATGCCACCATTCTCCCCACATGATGATAACTGACTGAACCTCTGAAACTGCAAGCCAGCCTAATTAAATGTTTTTCTTGTAAGAGTTGCCGTGGTCATGGTGACTCAAACTAAGACGTTATGTAAATGTGGAAGGAGGGAACTGACTCTACAAACTTGTCCTTTGCGTTGCTTCACAACACACACACACACACACACACACACACACATACACACACACACACCCCGAGTAAGCGGGGGATGGTGTTGTGCTGTGAGTATCTGGCTTACTTTTTTTTCTTGCAATAACAAGATATTTATAGCTTTAGAAACACTTTAATTATTGATGAAAAATTCTGCTGTTACTGTGAGTTAAAGAAACTCCCTGGTCTTTAATACACTTTCCCCCTATTGAGATAACTGTTTTATTAATGTGTCTGAGGAGTTGAACTAATAAAATACAAGACAGGCTTATTCTTGAATCTCCCTCTTTTCACACATACATACGTACCTCATATATGTACCTGTTTGTACACAGATACATATAAATACATATGTGTAATTAAAAGATAAAAGGACAGTTAGTTTTGAACCGGATGGCGGGGAATAGCTGAAGGAGCTGGCCATGAGGGCACGGTGTGCGGTGAGGCTGACAGTGTTCTCTGTTAGTTAGATCTAGTGATGGCACGGCAGCTCGCCCGGGAGCAAGGCATCACTCTGCTCGGGAGCTCGGAAATCGTGGCCCAATTTTTTTTTGTTTGGCATCAACAGCATTTTGTATCAGCATGGCATATATCCACCGGAAACCTTTACTCGAGTGCAGAAATACGGACTCACCTTGCTTGTAACTACCGACCCCCAGCTCATGAGTATCTCAATAATAGGGTGGTTCCACAAGTGCCCCGTTCAAATACTGACAGTGGTGAGGCCCTGGAAGACGGCAGTTTGACACTGAGTGTGACGAAACCGCAAAAGATGGTGTTCGTAGAGAAAAGTCACACAAAGCCATCCGAGATGAAATCCGTTCAGTAGTCAGGCAAATCACAGCTACTGTGACCTTTCTGCCACCGCTGGAAGTTTCTTGTTCATCTGATCTGCTGATTTACACCGACAAAGGTTGCCTGAAAAGTGGGAGGAATCAGGACCCTAATTTGTGACCAATTCTGAAGAAGTCCGACTACGCTCACTTACTACCACAATCCGCAAAGTGAACAGTATGGTGGCCTACAAAACCCCTGCCAATGACTGGAGAGAGGGTGGAGAAAGCCAGGGTCCTACTTTGATAAATGTGCCCATGGTTCCACTTCTTGGGTTCCTCCTGGACTTGCCATAGAGTCAACATAACAAGATTGCTGCACATTACAAAGGGGAACCAACAGATTTTGTCAGAATTGTGGAGTGGATTCCTTTAGAAGTGGTCATTGTAGATAGAGATTCTTTTGTTAGACAGTTAAATATATCCCCTAACCAGTTAGCTCAGGAATCTTGACCAGAGAAGCATCTGAATGTAAATACAGCAGAAGGTTTTGTCTAGTTCTGAGTCATGTATATTGCCTTATGGGGCCCATTTGTCACTTCTCTTTGTATAGACCCATACTGAAAGACATGCTAAGTGTTTGATTTCAGTGTATATACCTTGAACTCACAAAGCAGTTGATACCATTTAATTTCTGTAATAAAGAGCTCTTATTTTAATGTTTTATAAAAAACATAAAAGGACATACATACAATCTTCTATATTTTGTATTCTTTACTTACTAGTGTATTTCCTGGAACATTAAATATTCCTTAAATTATTTTTAACATATTCCATTATTGGTTTCCATATGCATTATTTATGTACTTCCCTAGTCAGAACTTCAAGCTATTTCCAACATTTTTGTACAGTAAAAAGCTGCAGTAAACAACACGCATAGGGCTCTGTCCATGCCTCTGTTTTCATAATAAGTTTTAGAACTGGAATGAACTTGCTGAGGTTTTCATGAATATGATCTAGAGCTCATATAAATCCTCAAGACGGCGCCTGGCACACAGCAGGCATCTAATAACCAGAAGCTATAAGTAGGAAATCAAGTAGCCAGGAGAAGAAATGAATTGGGCCCCGGCAGTGGGCTAGTGAAGGAACGTGCGCCACCCCACCAGGCACGGATGCAGTTGGGAGCCTGAGCTAAGGAGCAGGATGCAGGGAGGGCTGCTTCATTCCAAGGAGCAGATGGATCTACCAACAGCTAGAATAAAATGGTTCTGTACTTAGAACCAAACACAGTAAACACCACCTCACTGCCACCCGCAGACAGGCCTTCCCGTTGATCCTTTTAGGCCCTCTGGTTGATACTGACTCCAGTCTTCATTCAGAGCCCCATGCCCCTGGAAACTCTCATCAGAGAACAAACAACATGAGTCAAGTGTCCTCAAAGATTATTTATTAGCTATTCTCACTTATGGTGAAAGAAAATTTAAAAGTCAATGAAACTGAAAGAAAATACAATGAGACTCTTAACATTTATTGACTGAGTACATGAGCTGGACTACATGACATGGCCTGTGGTGGCTTCATGTGGGCAATTGACTTACAGAGCCCATTACAAGCACAAATAAAAGAATTGTGTACTCTTCTGCAGGGGTAGGGTCTGGCATGGCGCCACAGGAAAGAGTGGGTCTGTCTGTTCCACACCAGAGACCAGTGAGACCATAGGCCAGCCCTTTGCAAGCCCGCCCTGCCCAGCTGCATTAATGAACTGGGCTGCTTCCTGGAGTGGACAGTTATGGAGCATGCCTCAGCATGGCCAATCTCTGTCCTTTGACGGCCAATTTGATTCCTTAGTACAGCCAGGTCACCGGGAGTAGGTGAACGGACAAGGGAAAATGGGTTCCTGGATACACTGGGGAGACAAGAGCTGTGAGTGCTACAGTAAGGGGATTATTTTATGCTCCCTAGCAGCCCAAAGGCCTTACCTAAAGAGATGCTGCCCTTGAAGCCTACACCAAGCAACAAGAACATCGGAGAGGAGGTGCAAAGCCTCCTGGGAAAGATTGCAGGACTGTGGCATTCCTTCGGAGGCTTTAACTCTGGGCTACCTGTTAAAACCCTGCCGCACTCACTCAGTGCTCACTGGGAGCTACAGCAGCACTGTTTGTTCCTTCTCACAAAACAGAAGCCTGCCTAGCTAAGTTAAACACTTATCTGGTCTAGCAAAAGCCAGTTCTTTAAAAGGATTTGGACTCCATGTGGACAAGGGAGTCTTGTCCTTCCGTATCTTCAGCTACAGCCTGGAAGACATCTGTGTCTGTCCTTCACGATGCCCTGGAGAGAAACAGCCTGACCTCCAGCAGTGCTCAGCTAAGCTTCTTTGGATGGCCACTGGACAGGGACTGGCCAGCTGGGGGGCCTGCAGCACCTGGATCCCAAAGGCATCCTTGAAGAGTCACTCTTCCTTCCCCATGCCCGGGAGCCCCATGGGCCTAGTGGGTGGGCTGGTGCCTAGTCCTCTGGAATAGGGGTGTTGCAGTTCCCGTGGTAGATCTTGACGTGGCCCTCACAGTGAAAGTATGCCTGGAAGACATCACTGTAGCCATGGTCCCTCCACCAGGTGCACAACTGCCGGTTCCAGGTGCAGTCCAGCACATGGAAGAGCTCGGGGTGCTCCATGCCGATCATGGTGAAGAAGTCCTGGTCCCCAAGGTGGCCCCGGAAGTGGTACTTGTCTGCAAGCTGCTGTACCCGTGCAGGCTCCAGCAGATGGCTGTAGAGCAGAGACTGGCGCATGGCCTCCAGGTTCAGCAGCATTACTCCACTGTTGAAGCCAGGGAGCCCCGCAGGTGGAGGGTCCCCAACTCTGGTCTTGGGGTTCTCATGGCGGAACTGCCAGAATGTGTGCCTGTGAAGGAGGAAAAACAGCATTATCCCTGGTCAGGGTGAATGAGCTTGCCAGACCTGCTTCCTGGGCCTTCACAATGGCCACTTCCCTTCTGTTTCAGTGACAGAAGTTGTTGGGTCCCAGCCCCCACAGATCTCTGCGCATTGCTTGTCAGCTGATAACCACAGGTGCATCCTGTTCTCCAGTCCTGGCTTAGAGCCCTGGCCTTGCCCACCTGACATCAACATTTAGCACAAGGAAAACACAGACTCTTACACCTGGGGTTTCTCCACTGTGCTGTAAGTCTGTATACAAGGCTGCTCCCTTCTTGCAATAAAGGTACACACACGCATTCTCGTAGCACAAACGGCTGGACATCTCGCCTTTAATTTAAATCTCCTGCCTTTCGCCGGGTACATGAGACTTGCTTGTGCTGTGGGCGCCACAAAAAGAGGAGGCTCTCTGGGGTCCAGTATCTGCACCACAGCAGCAGCAGACAGTACAGCAAGAGCCGGAGTCCGGCCCCACCCCAGCTCTAAGCCTCAGGTTCTTCTCCTCTGCCACCTCAGGATGACCATGTTGATGAGGTCATCACAGTCACTGCCATCTGAAGAGATGGCAGATACTGGTGATGTGCTGAGTGGGGTTGCTCCTCCCCCGGGTGCTGTGCTCTGGGACATGACCCCTCACCACACAGCTAGGAAAACACTGCCCAGGGAGATGGTATAACTTGCCTAAAGCCAGGCCTTTGGTTCAAAGTTCACGTCCTTCAGATGACAGCAGTGTGGCAGAACTCCCTAACCCATCATTATTGGGATGACAAAAGGCGGAAGAGACGCTGACTAACAGTTGGTGAAGTCATAGGCAGCCAACTCAGACTGAACCAAAACTTTCTGCTTTAGAACAAGCTTTATTCATGACCCCAAGCCTAGCATTTCACAGGGGCTGGGGTCTAGAGATAGCTCTGGACATATACCTACAAGTCGGGGTGAAAGTAGCTGTATGGAGCCATGTGGGACTTAGGCATTTATGAGGGATGCCACCTCAATTTTTGTCTTTCTCTGGCAGATTTGGAAAAATGACCCTTCTCAGCCTTTATCCAAATACTTCCATTTAGAGGTAGGAAGAAACATCTGGAAATCTTCCTGTGATATGTTTAGAGCACTGGTCACCCTGCTTTCTAGCCTTTCTAAGATCTAGTGTGCTACAGCAATGGGGACACGGGGTCCCCAAAACTGTATTCACAGGCAAGGCTCAGCAGCAGCACCTAGGACAGGCAGTGTGAGCCTGGGTCCTCAGGGTGGGGAGTGCATCATGGTCACACCAGCCTAGAGATGCACCACACTGTTCACAGGATAGGACGTGTAAGTTGTTACCCAAAGCAAAGCAGAGCCCAGCATGCAAGGCCTGCAGCAGGTCCATTCTCTGGTTCTAACACATGACCCCAGTGAGGGTCAGCCGAGCCTTTTCTGTGGTCTCACATGTCAGAAAGGCGGCCGAAAGTTTGATCTTGGCAAGGGAAAAGCACGCCCTTGGGACCCAGCCAGTGGAGCATACAGGCTCGTTGTTAGCCTCTGGTCAGGAATGGGCTGTGCGATGAGTGGGGATCTGGCTCTGAGCCGGTGCCTGCTTGCTGATAACAACCTTGGTGAAGACAAGCTTTGAGAGCAAGCCGAGGTGCTGAGGTCCTCCCAGCCACAGAGCTGCCATGATGGGTCCACCAGCATGTGAACACTTCATCATTTCACCCTACCACTGCATGATTAATTCCAGGGTCGGGTTATAAGCTAACTATGATCCTACTAGATAGACCTGGGTCACCAAAGCGTTACCAGGTAGAGGAGGGACCCTCCGGGGAGTGGATGCTGTACCATCCAGGTACTGAGCTCTTCTTCCAATGGCGGGACAGGGACATTAAGTAAAGAGGAAAAGAGCCAGGAGGGAGAGAGGAGACAGCTATGGAGGCCAGCTCATCTCTTTCCATCACGCCCACTGCTTCCTTCCTTTCCTTGTAGAAGACCCGGAAGAGATCAGGGGCTGGCTGGAGGGGTGGGGTCCCAGATGACAGGGCCTTGGCAAGGGTGAAGTGACCAAGAAAGGCCTATGAAAAGGTAAGAGTGAGTCTGTGTGGCCTTTGGTGTTGGTGGCAGCAGGAAGCAGGTCACAGTAAGGACACCGAGTCACCACACTGAGCACTACATCCACCACGGTCAGGGGCTCAGATGCGCTGCAGGGCTTTTACCCTTCAGTAAGGAGTTCACAGCTGGGGCTCAGGGGGATACCCTTACTTGGGGACCCCCAGATCTTCTCTCTATATATCAAGAGTAGCCAAAAGATGACCTTGCTAGGCTTGGGAGAGGAGAGGGAACATCTCCAGGTGGAAACTATAACCCAGGAGGCTCCCTAGGAACTCGATGGCCAGCACTGCATGGGGCAGCATGCAGAGAACTCTAACCAAGAGTCAGGATGCCAGTCAGCACATTTTGGGCAAAAGAGGGCAGGGAACTGGGAAATACAAGTTCCCACTGGGTTTGCTGAAGCAGAATCAGCCTGAAAAGTTTCTGATGCCTCCTAAGCACAAAGTGACCTGTGTGCCTTGTCAGAGTGCCCCCACTGTCCCAGATGAGCCCAGGACGCAGAGGGCACTGGGACTGGCTGGTTTCCCTGGCCTCCATGGCAGCCACACAGGCTGGAGAGAGAGCATACAGGGATGTGGCAGGTGAGCGCTCACACAGGAGCTGCTGGCGCCAGCTCTCCTTACCTGCCACAAAGGCAGGGTTGAGGTGGATTGCACAGGCCTCTCACATTCTCCCTAGAACACTGAGATCTTTGGTCGGCTAGGCAGGGCTTTTGATCTCTGTGGTCCTTTATCTCTGACTGCTTCAGATTCCACAGGCTAATGTTCCAATGAGCAGCACCTGAATTCCAAACTCATTTCTGAACTTGGCCGACATACTCAAGGCCAAAAGTCTGGGGACCAGGCCTTCAGGATGTATAGCACGGCTGTCACATTACTGGATTAGGGGTCAGACATAAGAACCATCCTGAATCAGGTCAGTATACACCCCCAAACCTGCCCTTTCCTCACAGGGGCAAGGGCTGGCTATCCAGGTACATGGGTCTCCTGTATGAATGCAGTATGTGGTTTGGAGTCCTGATCTTCCAGAAGGTTCTTGGATAGACTGTCCATCCTCACACCCATCCACTCTTCTCTGTTCTATTTCCCATGATCACCCAGAACCATAACAGCACAGGTAAGATTTTTCCCTCTTTTTGGGATAGTTTTCAACTGGGAAACAAGCCCTGCACAGATGGTTCACTGGAAATAATAGGCCTTTCAGAAGTCAGTGAGGCCTGCTGGGAAAATACAAACGAAGCCCCTTCAAGTCCTTTCTTCTGGATGGTACATTCCTGGAAGGGGATGGGTAGCCAAAAACCAAGCCATGCATGGGGCATGAGAGGGAAGGAAACGGGTGGGAGGTATATGCCCGACCTTGTTTGGAGGTCCTTGTAGGGAATGTGGGTTTGGTTGTAAACACCGGCTTGACTGCAGTCCAGTAACTGAGTTGGCAAACCCCGTATCCCCAACATGAGGGACAGCATGGGGCTGGGCAGAGCCCTCAGCTTCTCACGCTAAGGGCCCTGGGTATAGGTGGGCCAGTCCTCAGTGATGGCACCAGGCTGCCTGACAGGGCAGGAGGGGACTCCAGCAGAACAGAGATCCAGTAGACCCAGTAAAGGACAAACTTCAGAGCTTTCCTTGAGGCCATCCTTGGCTGGAGCTGTAAGTCCTGAGCTCTTCTGCCTGCTTCCCGGAGGAACAGCCTCCACCGAGCATGTTCTGTAGACTTATGGCATCTCTGTGCCCCTGGCCCAGCTTAGGAGGACAGGACAAGCTTCCAGGGCCACTGAGCTATTTGTATCATAACTCAAGAGAACCCCACAAAAGAGGGATGACCTGGAAGGAGGTCTTGGGGAGAAGGCAGGGAAAGGCGAAGTGCTTGCTGAGGGAGCAGCAAATGCACACCTTATGAAACAGATCAGGACCACCACTCATCCATACACTGGGGGACAGAGCAGACCACAGGCAGCCTAGGGCTTGGTGCGGCTTTGAACTCTACTTGGCTTGGGAGGGAGGGCCGTGCAGGACACGAGGGTGCTGTTGTTACAAGAACCAAGCTTTCTGGAGACCCACTCTTCCACCACCTGCAAAGCAGGCCTTTCATATTCCTTCCACGTCCCTGAGCTCTGAGGTCATCAGCTGACCAAGTCCTAACAGAAAGTAGCAAAACCAGGCAGACGACCCAACAGCAGCCTGGCCTGTGGTGACTGGGGCTCGACACATAGGACGGTGGTGGTGCAGAGCCGTCTCTGCGGGCTGAAAGAAGTTGCTCCACACTCCCTGGCTTCTGAGGGTGGCTTCAGTCTGACACCGACCTCCACCTGCAGGGTAATTCTCTCTGTGCAGGTATCTCTCCTCCCCACGCTCCTTTCCCCAGTCACCCTGGACAAGGGGTTACCCTACTCCATGACTCCTTTACCAACTTGCATCTGTAATGTCTCCCTCCCAAGAAAGGTGATAATCACCAGTGCTAAGAGTTAGAACCTCAGCAAATAGAGTTGGAGGGAGGGGGTGACACAGAATTCTGCCCATATTCTGTAGAAATGAAGATGGGGAAACCATCATGACTCATCTTCACCTCACTGTTAATTTCATCATCCACAGGCTCAAAACATGGAGGGATAGGTTTCTAGAACTTCCAGGTCCTTGACTTTGCTGCTCCTAATGGACTGAGAAAATGTGTCACAACGGGCTGGGGAGTCTTGACCTGGAGAGTGGCAGATATGAGTGCCGAGCGCTTGTAGGGAGTGGACAAAGTCAAGTCAGTGAAGTCCTAAGTGAGTGCGAATTGTTGACATGGGCACAGCCATGTTGGAACTCTGATGCTTCAGCCCCGCAGTGGCAAAGCTTGCCTTGGGAGAGCCAGTGTGTATGAGCGACCAGTGTGTGCAAAGCCTAG